CAATTTCACAAACGAACGTCCGTGTTTTTTTCGTGGCTTCCCTTTGGCTTGCATCACCAGCATAAAAAAATATACATAAACCAATTTCATTTAAGTAGGAAATCGAATAACTTGTACATGTTTATACATATTCTTATGATTGGTAATTTATTGATTTAACAATTAAAGAAAACAAAGAATAAAGTTTCTTAATTCATCATATATAACGGGGTCCGATGGTTGTTAGGAAACAATTTTACCCATTATTCCATAATCGTAATAATGCTATTTCAGATTATCTAATATTTTAAAGACATAATTATCGCATTTTTTGAGCAGACTATTATTGAATATAGAATTTAAAGGTTAGCTATGATAACATAATAATTGTGACAGCTGAAGCTGAGATCTTGAAATATTTTAAAATTAAATTTTAAAAAATTTATTGTCAGCTTTTTTTTAAAGTTAGATTAGGGTTTAGGGCTAGTTTTATTAATAAAAGAGTATAAATGAATTTTAGTAGGTATTATATATTTAAATAGAGACTACCAATCTCAGCTTCATCCGCCACATTTAATATGACGTACTTCAAGAATCGAAAAATGTTTAACAATAAATTTCTGTATTTTTTTGTTTTTACGAATGTTCTGTGCTCTAGATAGTTTTATCAATTTTCTTCACAAAAAACAAAGCAAATCAACGAATACAACGAATACAGTATGTATATGTACAATAAAACTACCTAATAAATTTCAATGTGACGTGGGTTTTCCACTACATATATCGTCAAATTAGCTTTGATTCAAGTTAGTCACTTTTGAATTAGTATAAGTTTTTTTTTTGGTGAGTCCCAGTAATTACTATATGGGGTGCTGTCAGTCAAAAACATCCCATAGTGAGATTATTAATATTGTTACACAAAATGATAAAAATCAGTGCATGTCTAATTGTAACATAGGGTGGCATAGGGTGACGTCAATCAAATACGTTATTATTAATAAACTTAATACTGATATTGCGAAGTATATTATACGTACGTACGTATTATAATATACTTCGCAATATCAGTATGGGGAAATTAAGTTTATTAATAATAACATATTTGATTGACGTCACCCTATGTTACCTATGTTACAATTAGACATGCACTGATTTTTATCATTTATGTGTACAATATTAATAATCTCACTATGGGACGTTTTGACTGACAGCACCCCATATACTCTTTTATTAATAAAACTAGCCATTAACTAAATAAAAAAAGGATTCATTTATTAGACTTTTCCATGGGTTTTCCGAATGATCGGAATTAAATTACGTAATCAATGTGTCGATACAAAATGGGAACCAAATCCGTACAAATTTATACCGATACTATTTAGGGTTAGGGAATTGAATTATTTACGTATATATATAGTTTTCGATAGGTATTTGTATGTATACCTTCCCCTGTGCCCGGTGATATGAAAATTAGTATAGACTGATTTACGTCATACAAAGTCGTACATACGTATGATTTATATACATTGTTTTATTCGGTTTTTCTTATCATCTCGGATCAAATGAGTGTCAGCAAGAGAAAATGTACATTTCGCCTATCGGCGCTCAAATACAGTATAGAGGGAACCCCATTAATAAAATTGATGATTATTAATTAATTGACTTATAATAGGGTCTTGCTGACAAATTCGTAGAAAGTTGCGCTAATGTAGTTCTATTGCTACGTATGAATTGATTATTAATTATAGATAAATCAAAATACTTATGGCTGTTTTCGGACAACGATAAAAATCGACTGATGATCATTCGAATTGTTATCGGAATTACTGTAATGCCGAAGATCTAATGCCAATAATACCGATACCGAATTCAAAAACTTATCGAATTCGGCTGAAATAATTTTATCAGTTGTCCCAGAATTTATGAGAACAGCTGTAAATTAGAGTTTGGACGGTTTTATTTTCATACCGGTACGTTAAACCCGGTTTTAATCGGGTTTAACATATGAAAAATAAAAACCGGTTCCAAACTCTACTTTAAACGCACATTTCTAAATCGCAAAAGAACTCCAAATTGTTAAAAAGAAAATTCTACTTCGCGCAATAAATATAATTCTTTAATCACGTAATATTGTAGTGTACTAATTAAAAGACACCATTTTTCAGTACCCAGTTAAAATACCCGGATGTTTTACGTGGCATATTTTTTTAACCAGGGATAATATTCGGTGCTTTGCGTAGCATTTTTCACATCATCACATATTGATTCTTGAAAATTGATTTTTCGTTTTGCATAATCCGACAGACCTATTTTTTCAAATTTTCAGAAAAAAATTTTTTTAAAAAAAAAAATTTAATTGTGACAATTGTTCCATTTTTGCCATTTATTTTTTTTTCGTCATTTTATCCGTGCCGTCCAATGAAGCCGGGATTATTCGACGGTAAAAAAAAGGCCGATCGACCGACCCAAATTTCAGATTCCATGCATTGCAAAACGTCTTACATATATGTTGTGGAATTTAAGTTGATTTAGGATTTTAGGGTTAGGGTGTAGGTTTATGTAAAACTAGAAAAACGGTGACGTTTTATGGGCTGAAGCTTTAGTTATTAAGTCTTAGACTTGAATTAAAATTTAAAATATATAGTACAGTATTTAAATTTTATAAATTGCTATATATTACTTATAAGATTATATCTATACTAAATTTATAATAAAAGCAATTTTGGTTTATTATTCTTGTTGTAAATGTATATTTGGCATAATATTTGTAATCTGTCAAAAGAAAAAGAACCATTAAAAAGGACGTCAGCAAATGTGCAAATTCTTGATTCATCTACAAATATAATATTAGTTGCGCATTTTTTATTCTAAGATTTATTGTAGTGTCAAAACTTATAAATTGTAGTTGCTCAAGCAAGACATAAAAGAAAAACAAGTTCTTTATTTTTCTTCACAAGTTACAATATATTTAATAGATTGAATCAGTCTACTTGGTTATGATCTATAATTGTTCATTTTAATCAGAATTGCATAGATAATTAAGGTAGCATTTATTAGAAGTTAGTTAATATACGGTTAAAGTTAGTTACTGTATTTAAATCAAGATTTCGATATTCAAACATTGAGCCTAATTTTGGTTCAATTTCTGAATATTGAACCTCCAGCCAAAAAGTATCCCATCTATATAACTTTTTTATTTCTTTGTCTATTAAACATGTATCTATTAAATTTAGATGATTTGATTTTAAATATTCAAAAAAAAATATAGTATAAAATAAAGGTTTTCACTCTAAAATAAATATATAAAAATTAGTTACATTATGTGTAGTTGATATAAGCGGAATTTTGTAATAAAGTATAATCAGCCGCTTACATATTTTACTACAAATTTCGCTTATACGTACCCAACTGCCCAGGATATTTTAACTCAAGATTCAAATATTCAAACGCTGAACCTAATTTAGATTGATTCTGATGATTAAACCTAAAATTTTGGTCAGGGTAAAGTAGGAGCCAGACATTCCTAGAATTCAGTAGAATATAACTATTCTTTTAATAAAAGTCAGTTATATATTCTATTAAAGTTAACCATTATATTTTCAGGTATCCAAACGTTGTACCTAACTTAGATTCGATTCTGGTCATTGAGCTTAAAATTTGTGTCAGGTAAAGCGAGAGCTGAACTTTTCGAAAATTCAATAGAGTAAGGCTTGAAAGGCTTTTACTTTGTTCCCTTCAGCTCCAGGCAATAATTATGCCTAAGATCTGTGACAGCATCTCAAAACTTTCTGAGAAGTCGTGATCATCATCAGTAAGTAGACATGTGGGTGATATTTTGTTTTCTAAGATAATTTATTACATCGTAGACTTAATTATTTTATTCAAAATTTGATTTAAACATAATATTTTTTATTTAGGCTACTTTCTCACTTGTTTGTTCATCTTGATTTATGTTCTCTTTTGCTTTAATATTATTGATTTGAGATGTTAAGTGATTTTTGTGGTGAGCCTATCTCTTTTCTGATTCACTTTTTCAGCTATTCTTCAGTCCTTAAATTTTTTTTGTTTTCTCCAAGTTTCATTTTTTATGGCTATTTGTTTGGTATGTAAATTTTTTTTTGCTTTTCCATTTTGACTAAACCAAAAAGAAAACATGACTATGTTTTCTTTTAAATATTAAATATGCATACTTACAATGCGATATTTATGACAATATAAATTCTTAATTTTACTGATAAACAATTCTTTTTTTATTAAAAGTCAGTTAGTATATTCTATTAAAGTCAGTTACTATAGTTTACGTGTAAATGTTTGAAAGTCAGCTGCTATATTTTATGTACAATTTAGTAAAAGTCAGTTAACATATGTTTCTATTAAAAGTCAGCTATATTTTAAACCAAGAATTCGGTATCCAGATTAGGTTCAATTTCTGGATACACGACCTAAAATTTGGATTAATGTAACCGGGAATCGGACATTTACGAAAATTCGTAGAGTATAGCTTGAAGGCTTTCGCTTCGCTCTCCTCAGCTACAGCCAATAAATTATACCCTAAAATTATAGTTTTATTAAAAAATGTCATGATGCTGAAATTTGGGGCCTTAATTTGAAAAATAAACAAAAATCTACTTATACTCTTTTATTATAAACACTAACCCTAAATTCTAATCTAACTATAAAAAAAGCTGAACAAAACACCCCAAAAAAATTTTAAAATTTAATAATAAAGTCAGTCAAAATTTCAGCATCATCCCCGACATATATTATTGTTAAACCTTCCGCCTCAATAAGCTGCCTGTCAGACAAATGACCTGCCCCACTAACAATCATTTTTGGGGCACTAAGCTCATATGTATCGGTATGTCCCGAATTAGATGTCTTTCTTTTGCATCCTCGAACTGTAATATTTGATTGGCTAGTCAACATATGACCGCACTTTTTGGGATTGTGATACGCATTAGCGTTATTATATAAACTCATTTATTTGTTACAAAACTTTACTCTTAGCAAAATATTTTTAGATGTCGTCTGAAATACTCCGAAGTCCAAGAATCAACTCTGCACTTTGTGCAAAATATCGTGGCGAAACTGTTCGCTTAATTGGTAAAGTTCTTGAGGTATCGTAATCATTAAGCAATACTTATGTTCTCGTGTTCGAATATATCGTTGTTTTTCTGATCTGAAAGCTTGGTTGATAGGCCTCAAATAAAACCGCTAAGCTAGAAGCTAGTGATAAAGGACAAGTTCAAGTCGTTTTAAAGCCTGGACAGGTATGAGCACACTGCCATTTTCCGATTAATAAGTGCCAATTAATTTACCATTTGCCTATTTAAGGATGCGCCGTTGAACCCTGAATCTTATATTGAAGTTATTGGACGCGTTAATGATGATCTATCAATTAAGGAATATAATCACCTTTCAATTGGAGAACCATTTGGTAATGTATTTATCATCTGATTAATTACATATTCGTAATTACAATTTTTTCATATTTGAATGCAGATTTAGAAGCATACGACCTTGCGGTTCAATTGTGGCAGCGATATCCAGACATTTTCTAAAGGTTCTATAATTTGACTAGTGTTTAGAACCGGGTTATAGTAAACCGGGTCACCCGTGTCAAAACGGTTCAACCGGGTCAAAAATTTACAACTTGGGTCAAAACGGTTGAATATGTAACCTCTAACAATCTGTTACTAATACACAGAAAACATAACAAAATTTAACACATT